AGCAATTAGCACTTCAGAGCAGGATCTGCCAGACCCAGGTTTTTGCTGTGGAAGCTGAGTTGGGTGGTTTCAGACCATTCACAGACTTTCAGCCTCAGTTACCTCTCAGGGTTGTTGTGCAGATCAAAAGGGGGAGAGGAGAATGATGTGAGCTGCTTTGGTCCCCACTGTGGAGAAAGAATGTAATTTTCCTCCTGGGGGACCATTGTTGCCAATCTCCAGGTGAGGCCTGGAGATCATTCAGAATTACAACTGCTCTTCAGATGGCAGAGATCAGTTCCCCAGGAGAAAACAGTGGACTCTGTGTCATTATACCCTGCTGAGGTCACCACAGCAAATTGATGCTGAGTGCCCAAGGCCGGGGCACCCACCCAGAGCCTCCTTCTAGAGCTCATTGTATTTAGTTCCACAATGGGCCTTATTCCTAGTTATATTATAATGTTCTGTTGAAATGATGTTCTAATTTTCAACCTACATTAAAGAAAAAATTAAGTCTCTAATCCTTTTTGTTGCAGGATTGTTAGGAGAAATGTGCAGCCAGTATCTTTTCCCTTTAATAGTCAGCAATGAATAATGCGAGAGATTTCCTTTTTAAAAAACTGAAAACTGGGAATTAGTACATCATGGCGATGGATTGTTCTAACACTATAGTGATCTAGCAATTCCCATTTTTAAAAAAGAAGACCTGTGATGGGGGCAGATATGAGGGTCTGAGGCAAGGAAGGCATGGGGAAAACTAGTGTGGATGCTCTGTTGCCATTATGAATGTCTCTGTATTTGCAGGAGCAACAAGAGCTGCCTGTGTCCTGTGAGAGAACTCCACAGTGCTGCTTCTTCCCATGCCTGCACTGCCACAATTTTTGAAAGAACAGTTAGAGGCATGTGAAGAAGCTGTCCCTGGGGGCTTTGGTAATACTTAAGTGGTGCAGGAAGGATCCATGCTGTAGTTTCCAGTTGCCAAAGTAATGAGAAGGGGCCCAATGGGTGATTTGAATGTGTGAATAAGTTTTGGCAGATTTAATATTACAGACAGAATTTTCGTGTCACCTCCAAAATTCAGTCTTTTCATAGACTTAACTCACACATTCAGGCTCTAGTCATCAAATCAAGTATACAGTCTACCAGTGATAAATGAATGTGTGAATATGCCCTTAGTCAGTCTGATACACAAGCATACCCCATCTCCCTCAATTCTCTCTTCTTCTTTTTTAAGCCCCCAGAGGGGATTTTTTATTGCATTTTTTTAAACACTACAAACTATAACAGAAAATAAGGAAGGGAACTACATTTAAGGGATAAAGAAAGATACCCACTACTGACTAAAATCCCAAGAGAGGAGGTCATCTCACCAGCTTAGACATACATTTAGTCTTACTCCCGTTAATCTCGTTATCAACTGAGTTAAATTTTAGCATTCACTTTTTCAAGTCTTAAATTTAAAGTTTAACTGTCAAACAGAAACACCCCAAAGCATCTCATTTCAACATTTTTAAAGGCACAATTCAGAGTCCTTCAGCCTTTACTTCTCCTTGCCTAATCTCTTCCGAAGCTTATAAGAACTTTTAGGGGCTGCTGCCCCTTTCTCTGAAAGAGAGTCCTCCCCAAAAGATTCCAAGTCCAGCTCGCCTTTGGACTTACTGTCCATCCCTTTTTTTCCTTCTTCCCCTGGCCCACCCTACTGGACTCTTAAAAATTCCCGTGCTTTCTGAACAGAATCAATCTTTTCTTTTTTATCATTGATTTTGAAGGTTACGCCTTCTGGAGTTAACCATCTATACCCAATTGCATTTGTCTGTAGAAAAAGAATTAGTTCTTTATATTTTTTTCTCCTTTGTCTTATCTCAAATGGAATGTCTTTCAATGTTCTGATGGTATTTCCCCCCACTTTCAGGGGTGCTCCAAATACTGCTTTCAGGATTGCATCCCTCACATGCCTCTTTGAGAATCTTACCACAATTTCCCCAGGCAGATTATTTTTCTTTATGTATCCTGAATATGACCTATAGGCCACATCCATTTTGTTTAACAGGAATTCCGCCTTCATATCTGTCACCGGGGCCAATATTTCACTCATTAGTTCCTTCAGATTCTCTCCCTTAGTCTCTGGCAAGCCCTGGAAGCGAAGAATCATATTAGCCTTTTCCATTTGTAATTGTAGCAGCTGATCTTCCATAGAAACTTGCTTCTTTTCCAGCTTTTGAACTTTCTTTTTCACTTTTTGTGCAGTGGCGTCCACTTCTTTCACCTTCTCAGCTGTTTCATTCATCATTTTAAGTGTCTCGCTTATCTGTGTTTGCTGCGTGGTGATACACTGAGTCATTTTCGACATCTGCTCCTTGAGATTATTCATCTGGTCCAGTAGGGGGCACATGGATTCTGCCAAAGTCTTTGCCAGCTTGTTGGTTCCTTCCAGTTTGGGGCTCTCCATTAGTTTCGGTTTAAAAGGTTTCTCTTTCTCCGTCCTCTTCCCCCTCAAAAGTTCATGGGGTTGGGAGGCATCCCTTCCCCACCCGCCTCACTTTCCATTTTACAGAATGGGGTAGGGAGCTTTCTGTTCTCTTTAACCACTGCTTACGTTAGACTCACGTTCATAGTTGGTCCTCAGACCCCCTTTTTAAAAGTCATTTCTGCCACTCGACCTACGCTTGCCCCGGTCGGCGTCACTTGAATCCATTCAGCCTTGCGGCACGCAGAACCTTCAGGATGGAGAGGCGCCTCAATTCTCTGGCATTCCGCCAGCGAAGAGGCGACCTCTCATAAGTCCCCTGGCCAGAGCCCCTTCAGCTGGGTCCCTGGGGGGTGACGAGCTTGTGCACCCCCTCCTTCGGCTGGAGCGCAGCTTCACCCCCGGGAGGTCCGGGAGGTGAGTCTGCTGACACGCCGCCATAAACCGGAAGTCCCCCATCTCCCTCAATTCTCTAAAGTCATAGACAGTTCTAAGTAGTATAGACCAGTAGCAACCTAGGATTATGAAGCTCTGTAACATGTTTTGTTGGGAATCCCAGTCATAGCAAAATCTTGTTTTAGCTCAAGTTACCATCTATATATATAAAAGAAAGTCCCCTCACCGTAAAATCAATGCCCAGGCCAAACCGCTGGACCTAGAAACACCAAATTCGGGGAGAGCACTCCTACCATGGCGTAGGTGCTCACTAATAAGGGATTTTTAGAAATTCGACCCCTAAGTGGGTCAAAAGGGGGGGAAATGTGCTCCCCCATTGATTCCTATGCGG